TGTGTGTGTGTGTGTGTGTGTGTGTGTGTGTGTGTGTGTTTATAGGTCTGCATTTACACATGTGTGGAATTTTTTCCCCTCAGTGTGGGGAAGACCTCGCTCCTTCACCAATATGTACATAAAACATTTTTTGAGGAATACCAGACCACACTGGGGGCCAGCATCCTCTCCAAAATTATCATCCTGGATGATACCACCTTGAAGCTCCAGGTGAGCAGTCCCCTCCGATTCTGTATTGCACACCTGAAAATCACCCGCTTACACAGCACAGTGTACTAGGAGCGCTTCCCTGGGGCACATACACACCCACCTGTTTACCTGCTAAAGCAGAGGTGAATAATGAGACAGAGACAGGTGACCTACAAAGCCAGAAGACACTTACTGTTGGAGGCTGGGGTAACAACCTCTGTCCTGTTAACCTAGAGAAAAAGTCAGAGCTAAGAGCTGTGGTGTTGTATGTGAGTGGGAGGCTGCCCCGTGGGTTTGGAAGTGCTGAGCACATCTACGCCAGGGCTTTCCCCATCCAGAAATGAAGCTTTTGGCATGATACAGCCTTGCTGGTTTCTCTTCAGCTATTCACTCATCAGAGCCTGTGGGGCATTGCTCTTCCCCTCCAGATCTGGGACACAGGCGGTCAAGAGCGGTTCCGCTCCGTGGTATCAACATTCTATAAAGGTTCTGATGGCTGTATCCTGGCATTTGATGTCACGGATCCAGAGTCCTTTGAAGCCCTGGGTATCTGGAGGGATGACGTCCTGGCAAAGATCATCCCCATGGAGCAGTCATATCCCATGGTGGTGCTTGGCAACAAAATCGATCTGGAAGACAGGAAGGTACTGTTCATTCATTTATTCATTCATTCATTCATCAAACTGTATGTAACAAATGCATACCAGATACTGTGTTAGGTCTCACATACAGTGCTAACAGAGTCCTCCCTTCAAGGACTCTACAGTTTAACAGTGATAATCACAGGACAATGTGGCAAAAGCAACTATAGTTAGACACTTTGAAGACTTGGAGATGAGAACAAAGGGATGTCTAATCCAGAGTAGAGAGCTAGCTCCTTAGAGGAAGTGGGTTCTAGGCTAAAGAAACAAAATGATATGAACTGAGACATGAGAAACAGGAGTAAGAAAGTTAGAGCCTCAGAGGAGCCAGGAGTCAGGTCTTGGTGGAATCCGATTTAATCTTAGAACAATATTTCTGCCTAGAGTCAGAGGGATCTGAAGGTATCGATTTATGGATCTATAGATTTTCCAGGACAGTGGACAACTGGTCTACCCCATGACTGCAGTGGCCCCACTTGTATGGGTAGTAGCTGTCACAGGGCTATTGAGTGGAAAGTTCTTTCAACCTTTACTTGCTACCAATAAAGGGAATAGAGGCTGTCTTAATTTGTAAAAATTGAGACAAAGGTACTTTGTGCCAGTTGAAGCCCAAATAACACCCAAAGGAGCTGTTAGTTAAAACCACATTCTCTCAGTATTTCTAATGGAAAAGTGTTCATGGGGAACTGAGTAATTGTGTTGGAACTCGGTTTTCACAATGGTTCAAACAGAAAACCGCAGGAGAAATGAACCAAAACTTAGTACTGCAAAGTATAGGGTGGACAGGAGGAGGGAGGGAGACAGCAGGGGTACTTCCAGCTGCACTCACCTGCACAGAGGAAGGTCCCTCTCCAGAGAGGAAGACATTTGATTTAGGTATCCAGAATCTGAGAAGCTTGGAGAGCAACCTGAAGCAGCTAGGGAACTGGCAAGCTTTGGAATACCTAAGAACAAAACTTCAGGGGAGAAGCGTGAGCTGGAACCAAGTCTCCAGCTCTGTGTGGACAGTTCAGGTTGGAAACTCAGTGTCAGGCAAGCATCCTGTGTGGACAGTTCAGCTCTGTGTGGACAGTTCAGGTTGGAAACTCAGTGTCAGGCAAGCATCCTGTGTGGACAGTTCAGCTCTGTGTGGACAGTTCAGGTTGGAAACTCAGTGTCAGGCAAGCATCCTGTGTGGACAGTTCAGCTCTGTGTGGACAGTTCAGGTTGGAAACTCAGTGTCAGGCAAGCATCCTGTCTCAGACAGTCATTCAAGTCTCTCTATCTTCCCACACAAGCCCAGCTGCAGTGGGAACTTCACTATCAGCTTTACAAGCCCGCAGGCCCCACCAGCTTAGGTAAGATAGGCACTCTGGGGTTTAGTCCTGTCTGGAGTGAAGCAGGAAGAATGAGAAGTGATCATGGAACAGAACAACTCTTGTTTTGTGGTGTCGCTTTGTGTGCTCTGGCTGACAGGTGTGGTAATGCCCCTCTTCTATGAATCATTCCTTCAGGTCCTTCTGACACCCTGACGGTGACATTCTATGGTGCCTGAAAGAAACAAGTGTCTTGCAATCTCCGGCTTCTTCCCTCAGCTTCAATCAATCCTCTTAGTAGCTGCCTCTGTGGCACCCACGCCTAGCCTAGGCATACTCAGGCATTCTGGCCATGTTCTAAGGAAGGAGCCAGTTCTGTCTCCACGCATGACCTTGTAACCTCCAGGTACATGCCAGACCCCAGTCTGTCACCACCACCAGGCTTCAGAGGCCATGTGTTACAACCAACCTCAAAGCCAGCTTCTGACTCCTACGGGAGGCAGGAGTAATTGTATTTACTCCAAAGGAACACTATCCAGTCCTTCCTTCCAAGCCTTGTGTGTCCATGTTGTGGGTATTAGTGTCATCTAGGAGATTCTTCATTACAAACCCTTGGAGACATGCATGGTCCCTGGGCCATCCCACTGCATACTGAAGTCTATCAGGTTATAATGCTGAATCCACTTTAACATCTTTCATGCATCCACAGGTCAAGTTGAGGTAGTTCAAGAAAAGGAGGCCAGAGTTTTCTCAGTGAAGTAAGAGGTACCACCCTCCAGTGAGGAAGGAAGCCAAAAAGCAGGCTTAACAATCAAGGTAAAGGCTGACCGTTTAGAATCTCCCTAAATTGCATAGACTCCAAATTAATACAGTTTAGGGCTGGATTCTGATTACTTGATTAAAGCCAAACACGAGAGGATGAGCTGATGGAGGAAGGGCAAGGACGAAGGGCTCAGCTGAAGGAGGAGGCTGTGAGCTTCAAGGAGCATCAGTGAGTGTGTTTCAACAGCCCTGCTAGAGCAAATGCTAGGAACAGGGGACCTGGGACTGCAGTTTCTCCAAGCAAGAGGGTGGGTGTGGGAGGGCTCCAAGGAAACCTGGAGGAAGGAGGTCCGGTAATTGGACCATCAGATATTAGAGGACAGGATAAGATGGGTGTGCAGAAGTTGAAAAGAGAGCAAGTTGTGGTCACAAAACGGAAGGCTAGTTTTGTATTTGGATCTCATTCTGTGAAGAAGATGGGAACATGCAGAGATTGGAGGTGGAAAAGGAATTCTGGCTACTTCGATTAGTGGCAGCCTTGTGTTGATGGAGAAAGGAAGCTGATGGCAATGAATTGTTCAATGAATGGGGGCAGTGTCTGGCGGGTAAAGGGCAGGTGATGACTCATAAGACAGATGGTCTGAGCCAAGCACAGGGTGAGGGGCTTTGCTTTAGAGAAGGGGATGACAAAAGCAGCAAGGCACCAGGCAAGCCAAACCCCTCCATCATCTATGGAAAGGCGAATATGGGATTGACCTCAATGGAGACAGTGAGAGGGAGGCAGAGACCCGAGGAGGAGCCAGGGCCAGCCAGTTGGGGTGGATAAAGAATGATTTGGGGAAGAGGAAGGGAATTTGTCTCTCTGCAAGGTGGCCCAGAGGAGGGGTCTGGAGGGAGGTGGCCTAGTAGGAACAGAGGTAAGAGGTACTGAACAACAAGGAAATGAGTTCAGGGAAGCAGGGAAGGGGAAGTGGGAAGAGAAAGCCGAGAGATTTACCACAAAGACCCCATAGTGGTAGGACCAAGAACAAAGGAGGGGCCGCTCCAGCCCTTATATCTCCTTACTCTGACGCCGACTTAGCAAAGAGTTTGCCAGCCCCTGTTTGGGATGAGGAAAATGAGGACTAGCCAAGTGACTGTACCAAGGGAGGCTTGTGCTCACTGGCACAAAGCTGACGGGGTAGGCACCATCTCTTAGTGGTCCGCCATGTTCCCTGTATGCCCTGGGTCCACTCCAACCTCTTCTCTGCCATGGAAACCAGAAGATGGGCTTCCCTATATTATTTGAGGGTTAAGAGAAATTGCTGTAATTGTATCCTCCTTAGGGGCAGGTCTGGAAAAGTTTTTTCCCACTTTTTTGTTGTGGTTTTTGCTTTTCGAGACAGGGTTTCTTTGTAACTGCCCTGACTGCCCTGGAACTCACTCTGTAGACCAGGCTGGCCTCAAACTCAAAGAGATCCACCTGCTTCTGCCTCTTGAGTGCTGGGATTAAAGGTGTGTGCCATCACCACCCAGTTTAGTTTTTCCTACTTAATTAAAGGAAAGTAAGTACATTGTTAGATTTGGGGAGGAGGAAGTTCTGGACTCAAGTGATGATGGCCACACAATAGTAGGCGTGCACTTTTTTTTTTTTTTCTGTTTTTCGAGTCAGGGTTTCTCTGTGTAGCTATGAAGCCTATCCTGGCAGTCGCTCTGAAGACCAGGCTGGCCTCGAACTCACAGAGATCCGCCTGCCTCTGCCTCCCTAGTGCTGGGATTAAAGGCATGCAGCACCAACGCCTGGCTAGGCATGCACTTAATGACCTGAATTCTATGCTTAAACAGGACTACAGTGTTAAGTTATATGTGGTGTGTATCTTCCTACAATAAATACACACATACATGTGCAGGCATGCATACAGCCAGAATGATTGGAAAGAAACTACTGGCTTGTCTTTGTTAAAAACCCTTCCACAGAAGACAACAGTGGGAAAACCTTGGTTTGTGAGAAAGGGGTTTTAACATCTGAGCGACAGGGAATTTATTCTCAGGAGCTCTAATGCTCTACTCCACAGCAAAGCGTGAGTTCTGACGTGCCACCAATGGATCTGGGATAGTATGTCCTACAATAGTCTCTGTTGGAGATTTACTAACTAGTCTCAGATATGCAAATTCTTTTACATTTTTACTTATCCTTATTTTATGTATATGACTATGTTGCTTACATGCATGTATGTGCACCACATACATGTAGTGTCTGCAGAGGCTGGAACTGGAGTTATAGTCAGTAACTGAGCTGCCATATGGTGCTGGGGACCAAGCCCAGGTCCTCTGCAAGAGCAGCAGAGGTTCTTAACTGCTGAACCACCTCTCCAGCCCCCAAACATGCTAATTTTAAATTTCTATGGCAATCATTTTCAATATATACAAGATGGAAAAGCATCAAAACCAAAATTATACAAACTGGGGCCAACATGACAGCTCAGCAGCAAAGAGCCTGATGACCTGAATTTGATGCCTGGGACAGACATAATGGAAGGAGAGAAATGACTCCTACAACTTGTCTTTGATGTCCATACATGTGTATGCACATGTGTGCGCACACACACACACATATACATACACTGTAAAATAAATCAATAAGAGTAATAATTTTTTTGCAAACTGACCTAGTTTTTATCAGACACTGGTTCCCAGTGAATGGGCAGAACCAAAATGTTAACAGCCCATTGTCAACAAAAGGAAAACTTGTGAAAGTGACAGTAGTCTTCAGGGCCATGTCTTGGATTTACTTTTAGAGTCCTCTGAGCTTAAGTTATAAAAAACTACTATGCTTCATAAATAAAAGACCAGATGATCTTCAAAGCCATGAAATCATAGCTGGAACTGGCAGAGAAAGCTAGAAGTGCTGTCTAATGGCTTCTTTCCAGGCCAGCCCTCTGCAGGGGGAGGGGCTGGAGACCCAGAAAGAAGTGGCTGTAGCATAGTCTCAACTGATGCTCTGGAGATTCTGCTCAGTCATTTTCCAGACCCATGAGAAGGGGGGGGGGTAAGATGGACGTGGATCTTACCTGCAGACACCGCCATCACTCTCTGCTGCTTCAAGGGAAGGGACAGCAGAGCTAACTGTCGCTGCAGCTGTAACTGATAGCATGTCTCCCAAGCTCCCTCAGTGAGTGATCAGCCTTGACACAGTCCTAGGCTCCTGCTTGTTATACCTTGGTATAAAAACAGTGTCCACTGTGACCACAGCATAAAGACATAGTCCGGTTGCACTCACTTCACTCCAAGCACCAGCTAACAGTTGTAGTTAAACACTCAGCATCTGGGGAGATGAGAGCTGGAGGGGGCGGGACATAAAGAAGTGTAAGTCTAAACTTGGCCCTCAAAGACTTTGAAAGACTCAAAGCACTTCAAGTGTGCAGGATGCCACCAGTGTAAAAGGTGTTACTATCTATTTGAAGATGCCATGCAAGCATAAGGTATTAATATCCAGTGATTATTTATCTACAGATTACTTGTACAAACATCCCAAGTCTTCCTCTAACCATCTAAGATTGACAGTAATCTAGGAGAAGTCTTGGTGGCTTACAGGATCTTGGCCATCTGTCCCACAGGAGGGAGCATTCCTCACCTTTTCCTGAAGATGGGAAAAGCTTAGGCATCAGAGGCCAAGACTGAGGCCTGGGTGTTCTTGCTTAGTTGACCACAGTCTTAAGTTGCAAACCTCACAATGCCAGAGCCACACTAGTGGTCAACAGAGGCACTGTGTGAAGAAGACATACCCCACTGGGCATTCTTGCCAGTCCTGAGACCAGGGGGGCAAGAACCAGGGAGACAGTGGTCAACAATGGTACTTCATAATCTTAGAAAGAGAGGTGTTCCCAGAACCTGCAAGCGATGGGAGACAATGTGATGGGGGGGGCACTTTCATCCCCCACACCCCCACTTGTCTTGTGTTCTAGGAAAAGGCACAAATTGTCCTTTCTCTGGAACAAATAGCTTGATTCCCTTAAATAATGTTAAAGTACTAGTCACAGCAAGTATAAGATATATGGCAATTTCCCCTCCAAGTAATTCAGAAGGATGTGGGGTCCCTAACTGCGTTCAGCTGTTTGCACTTAAGAGCAATGTCCTCTCTCAGCTGGCTCACATATAGGGGCTGAGAATAAAAGGGTCCTGAGCCTGAACTGAAGGAACCTGGAGTCTTGTGGGGGCAACAGTAAAGAAGAGCAAGGTTCTTTAGAAGAGTCCTCAGAGGCCATTCAGATGCCAGGAGATTCTGACTTGGGCCTGCATCCATGTTCTGCCTCCCCGAGCTTTGTGAGTCTAAACAGCTCTGAGCCTCTGTTCCTGCCTATGAAGTCCAGCTAATAACATCTGTCACATAGTGAGTGAGGGCCCTGGGTGAGCTGACACGTGATGATGTACCTAACAGTGAGTAAGGCCAGCCTGATTCACTGTTCCAGGGCTCTACCCTAAGGAAAAGAGTCCCTCCTGGCATGGATCTGCTCGGTGAGCAGGGAGGCAGAGAGGGAACTCTCCCTTCCCACCCTGCCTGCCCTGTGTATGTTGGGGCATCTCCTTTAAAGGGACTGAAGAAGGAGCCAATGTTGGGACAAAGCTTCTAGCCAGACCTTAGGAAGCCAGCGAGTGAAGTGGGCTCTAATTCTGCCAGGTCCATGTCTAAATCCTGCCCAGGCTTTTATCCTCCTGGTAATTCACCAGGTCAGTGGTTTTCAACTTCCTAATGCTGTGACCCTTTAATACAGTTCCTCATGTTGTGGTGACACCAACCATAAAATTATTTTCATTGCTACTACATAACTGTAATCTTGCTACTTTTATGAATTGTGATGCAAATATCTGTATTTTCCAATGGCCTTAGGAGACCCCGTGAAAAGGTCATTCAACCCCAAAGGGGTCGGGACCCACAAGTTGAGAACCCCTGCTTCAGGTGCTCATCTGTAAAATGGTGTTGGCAACACCCACCTCACAGATTCATGTTAGGGACTGAAAAGATAAAATATGGATCTGTAGACACAGGATGACCGAGGGAAGGCTCTCAGTCATCAAGAGGGGAAATGGCCACAATCACGGGGCCTGAGGTGATGGTTGGAAGGGAGGGTGCTGGCGGTGGCAGAAAATTGAAGAGAAAGGGGAGAGAGTCAAAAGCTGAGGGGTAGCCGGGCGTTGGTGGCACATGCCTTTAATCCCAGCACTCGGGAGGCAGAAGCAGGCAGATCTCTGTGAGTTCGAGACCAGCCTGGTCTACAGAGCTAGTTCCAGGGCAGGCTCTGAAACAATACAGAGAAACCCTGTCTCGAAAAAAAAAAAAAAAAAAAAAAAAAAAAAAAAAAAGCTGAGGGGTTTCTGACAAGTGGCTCTCAGTCACACACACACACACACACACACACACACACACACACACAAGACCTCACTCCTTTAGGCATGGGTACATGTGTGTGTGTGTGTATGTTGAGGAAGGAATATATGTCCATTCATGGGCAGAGGCCAAGGAGGCCCTCAGCTGTCTTTCTGTGTCGTGAGCCTCCTTATTTCCCACAGAGTCTCTCATTGCACCTGCAGCTTGCCATGGCTGTGAGGCTGATTGGCCAGTGACCTCTCAGGATGCACCTGTCTCTGGCTCACAGCACTGGGGCTTCAGACATCTATGGTCATACCCAGTTTTTATGTGGGTGCCAGGGATTTGAACTCAGGTCTTCATACTTGGGCAGGGAATGCTCTTACCCACTGAGCCATCTCCCTACTGCCTTTGTAGATCTTCTTAATGACCTATTCTCCCTTCGAGGCTTCACCTCCTTCATTCTCAGCATCGCCATAGTGGGGAATCAATTCCAACTTGGGTTCCGGAGGGAACAAACCACACTGAAGCCACAGCAGCAACAGTGACAGCGGCTGTAGCAACAGCAATACAGAAACGGTCATCATTTCTCTCCCTCAGGTACCCCAGGAGGTGGCCCATGGATGGTGTAAAGAGAAGGACATGCCTTACTTTGAAGTTAGTGCCAAGAATGATATCAATGTGGTACAAGCCTTTGAGGTTCTGGCCAGCCGGGCTCTGTTGAGGGTGAGTGTTGTGATGGTTGAACCAGTCGAACTGCCCTAGGGGTCCTCAGGATTCTCGGAGGACATAGGAGCATTCGTCGTTTTAATTATTTAGTAGTTGGATGGACTTCGAAATTCTGGTGTCATGAGTGCCAGAGGCATAAAGAAAGTATCAGGACGTAAGTAGTTGGTCTCGCAGTCTGGCCAGCTATCACAGTCCCTTGTGGAGTATTTAAAATGCCAGTCCTGTGCATGGAGCCTGGGCATTCTAATTCAGGGAGGATTTGCGAAGTGGTCTCTAGACCAATCCTCATTGTGGGGTAGAAGTCTCATGGAGCCAAGTTTGTATTCAGTCAAGTGGAATCTCCAGCCTATAGGAGCTGCTGACAGCTTCCAATCAGAAAGATAAATAGACCCAGGAGCTTAAACAGCATGTGTTGAGTGTGGCGTGTATGCCAGACACTGTGCAGGCATCAGGGGATCATCAGACTCAAGAGGAAGACAAAGAACATGAGTGATTGCAATACAACTTTTGTATGGCAGAGCAGACTTGGTGATAGAGTTCAGGCCAGGGGTATAGTGACAGCCCATATGATGGGAGTGGCCACTGAAGGCTGCCTAGAAGCAATTGTGGGTTTTACTTCTGTATGTTTTTTTTTTTTTTTTTGAGACAAGATCTCACTCTGCAGCCCAGACTAAGCTCTAATTCACAGTCCCCCTGCCTCCACCTCTATAGTGCTGGGGTCACAAGTGAATGCCACCAAGCCTAGCTAATGGAAGAACTTTAATGTTACAATGTAGAGTCTGACAGTTTGCACAACTTGGGGCTCATCTGGTTACCTTGTTCTGCCACTTTGAATTAAGAGAGGTTTCTTAAGAGAAGGGGACAGACATAGTATCACATGCCTTTAATATTGGTACTTGGGAAGCAGAAGCAGTCAGATCTTTGTGAGTTTGAGTCCAGCCTGGTCTACATGGTGAGTTCCAGGAGAGTCGGGGATACATAGAGACCCTGTGTCAAACAAACAAAAGGTAATCATTGTCAAAACAATGATTTTAAATGGAGGGAATGATCAAGGAGTGGTTAGGAGCTTAGAGGCATCCCCCCATCCTCCGGGTGGAAGTGGCTGCCACCATCCAGACTTACTTATGAGTGACTGACTGACTTGCATGACCCATGTTGTCCTGAAGAGAAGTCCTTAGGACCCTGTTGGTAGGGACAGGCATCATTTGCCTCCAGCAGCTGCACAAAGAAAGTTAAGAGCTTTCTCTGTGCACACAGCCCAGCCTGGACCTCAGGTCAGCCTCCAACCCTTACCGCCTCGTACGAAAGAAAAGCAGAGAGTGTCCATGGTAGTGCATGACTTCTAAGTGTGGCTTTGCCACAGGCAGGAAAGCAGGCTGCTAGTTTGCAGGTGAGCATGCCTGTACCATTAGCAAGGACAGCTTATCACAATTTATCAGCATTATGAGATATGATTATTGCCAAACACTCTGGTCACAAGGAATCTTCCCCAGCCCACTGCTAGTGTATATATGTGTCTATCATCTGTCATTTCAGGGAGAGAGAGTGTCTTTCCTGTCCCATTAAATTGGAGTAAAGTATATCCTTCCTACAATGTCACTTCCATCACGTGAGGCCATTTATGTGCTTGTTCTGCTTGTTCTTGCTAGCATCTTTTCTCTGCTAAAGAAGAGCTCTGCAACTCTCCACAGTCCCTGATACTTGTGCAGGAGACTGAGCCAGGGCCTGGAGGTCATAGGCATGGTGTCTGCAGTCAGACCGACCTGGATAGAGTCCTGTCCTAGTAACCTCACATGCATACCTGTCAAAACATATGGCTGATCTGAGCCTGTTTCCCTGTGTATAAAATCTGTCCTAGCCCATAAGAATTTCCTGAGCTGTCACTCAGGGGTTCAAGATGTGGCTTCACAGCACTCAGGCTGAGGAGTGGTTAACAGCACTTTCTGCTTGTCCAGCAGACTCAAGTGTATTCCTAGTACCCATGTCAGGTGGATCACAAGCATCTACATTTCTTGCTCCCATGGACCTGACACCTGGCCTCTGACCCTTTTGAGACCCATCACACATGTGTACATACCCACATGTAGACTCATGCTGATACACATAATTAAAAAATAAAAATAAATCCAGAAGCAGCAACAGCTGCCTTTTCTGTCTGTGTGGACCATAGCCCTGGAATCTATAACCCTAACACTCAGGAGGATTGAGATTTCCAACCTTGGGGAGACCCTGTCTTTAAAAAAAGGAAGAAACCCATGGCCTTGAAGAACTCCCAGCTTCCCCTGGAACCAGGGAATGGAGGTTCTTAGAAAGAGAGCCAGTGGGGCACCGAGGGGTTTGTTATGTGGACAGGGGCCTTCTCTGGGTGTTTGTTGAGACAGTTTGGATAGTTGGTAGAGAGGAAGAAAGGTGGCATGGAGACGCTGAACTGGTAGGGCAAGTCTCCCTGCACCTGGCATGGGGACCGGGGGGCCAGCTGGAGACAGGAAGGACCCTAGGCACAGAGGATATTGGGGGTTATTGAAATGTTGGGGGGACAAGTATCCATCAGAGATGAGATGTTAGCTGTCCATCTCTGCCTAAGCCCAAATGTCACCTCAGTTGGTTCTTCTGGGGAATGGGGAGTTATGAGACCTGGGTGGAGTCAGGAGCCCGAGCTCCTATAATCCTTCCCTGAAATACTCTGAACTCCTGTGAAGAGGCAGAACAGAGAAGGAATGGGAGAAGGTAGGAAGGCACAAGCTTCCCCTCCGGTTTTCGGTTTCCCAACAATATCACAGAAAGATGACACAATGCCCAACTCCCAGGGTTCATTGAGGAGCCAAGTACCAGGGCTCTCTAGACCTCAGGCTGTGAATATTGACTTCCCTTTCCTCCCCAGTACCAAGGCACCGTAGAGAATCACCTTGTGGAATCCATCAAGCTCTCGCCAGGCCAGCCAAAGAGCAGATGCTGCTGATTCCTGGGCTCGTCCTTCTGACTCTCACGGCAGCTGTGCAGGCCACTCGTTCCAAGCTCAACCCCACCCCAGCATGCCCCTAGGAGGCTGCAGCAGGAGAGAACGTCACAGGCAAATCCTGGCCCCAGAGAAAGCACAGGAGTCTCGGTGGCTCCAGCTCTCCTGCCTCCTCTCCCCTGACACAGTCCTGCTCCCCTCTGCAAACAGGCTGCTCCCTTGAGCCCTGTGGACCAATAGCTTCAGAGGCAGTGCAGCTCTGCCTCCCTCAGTGGCCAGGCTGGGGAGCCAGAACATGAACTACTCCTGACAGGCAGAAGCCAACAGGCCTGAGATTTCCCTCAGCTTCTTCCAGGAAGAACTAAGGAAACAAGACAAAAGCTGTTGTTCCTGCTTCCTAGGTACTGGAACAGCTCCCATAACTGACCAGGCCTCAGTGTGCCCACCTGGCAGATGAGCAGTCCCACTGAGGTTTGAGGACCAGAAGATCTATTTAAAGTCCCACTTGCTGCTGCAGGCACACACGTTTACTCCTTCAGCGAGTATTTTTTATGCCTTCTATGTACATTGTACTGAGGACTGGTAACACACAAACAGACAGGAGTACTGATCTCCCAATGGCATATCTGGAGAAAGAGACAGACACAGCAATGAGGTGCTGTTTTAGACATAGGGGTCCCAGAGGGTTTTCCTGTGGAGGTGACAGCTGGATTGACAGCTACGGTATAAGCTACAGAAGAGTGTGTCAGGAGAGGGAGCAGCGAGGCCAAGGCCTGAGGCGGTGGACAGCATGCTATATTCCACATGAAAACTCTTTACCTGAAGACTCAAAGCTGCTGTCCCATGGAAAAGGCCCCGGAAATCCAATCCTCGGAGGGCACCATGATAGTTTGGTGACTGGCCACCAGAGGGCAGAAGTGTCCTCTGTTTCCAAGCTGTGGCATTTGTTCTGAGGTCACTTGCAAAGCTGGTTCTGGGAGTGTCAAACCTGGGTTTGTTGGGTAAGACTTCAAAGGTCCTGGGTAAAAACTTCAGGATCCTTGATTCAGGCAACAAATCAAAATCAGAGAGAAACCCCAGACCAAGATACCTGGAGAACATATGGATTCTGTGTCCTGAACATTTCAAAGCTATGACCTGCTTTTTCTTCTGGTGTCACACAGCACAGATAGGGTGGCCCAGTCTGAAGGAGGTGGGCAGGATGAGCTTTCAGGGTCTTCCGTGGTCAGGTTCATGCCTTATGCCTACCACAGACATTTCCTGTCTCCTGAGTCCTAGGAAGGTCTGAGAGGTCAATCTGAAAGTATAAGAAGAAGTTCCTGACTCCAAAGATTCACTGAGAGGCAGGTGACCAGGGACACTAACCAGGGGACTCAAGGGCCCCATCTGCCCCTGCCTAGCTCTGGAGTAGAAAGCAAACCACCATGGGCAGAAGTCACACTGTGGGCAGCAGTCACACCGTGGGCAGAGGTCACACCATAGGCAGCAATCACACCATGGGCAGCAGTCACACCATAGGCAGCGGTCACACCATGGGCAGAGGTCACACCGTGAGCAGCAGTCACACCATGGGCAGCAGTCACACCATGGGCAGCAGTCACACCATGGGCAGAGGTCACACCATGAGCAGCAGTCACACCGTGGGCAGCAGTCACACCGTGGGCAGCAGTCACACCGTGAACAGAAGTCACACTGTGAACAGAAGTCACACCATGGGCAGAAGTCACACCATGGGCAGAAGTCACACCATGGGCAGAAGTCACAGGAGCAGAGTACACCCCTAGCACACCACCATCTGTATCCTTCAGAGATGAACATTATGCCCCCATGTCACACACAGACACACAGACACACACACACACACACACACACACACATGACTATCCTGGGAGTCACACTGTGAAGGACGTGCAGTGTGTGTGAGGGTCTGCATTAGCATTGGCATCACAATGAACATATGGACCGGATCTAAACGTACAACAACCAATAAGCATGTCCTTTGTTTTTATCCTTTGTGGAGCAATAGTCCTTCTTGGTCTGTGGTGGCAGGATCAGGTGCTCATGGTCGACTGTGGACTACAAATATTAAATAACGAATTTCAGAAATAATAACTTACAGCTTTCCAATCACATGTCCTGTGATGAACATCTGTGCCATCCTGCCCAGGCCAGTCATCCCTCTATTTAGCGTATCTACAGTGTCTATGCTACCACCCACCAGTCACTTTGTAGCTGTCTCAGTTGCCATAACAACTGTCATCATTCCCAAAGTCTCTATTAATAGTAGCCTAAAGCTATGTCACAATGCCTGTGTCACTCACCCCACTTTATAAGGTTGAGAATAGTACAATATTTTTGAAACATATGTCTATGTCATATTTTATTATTGTGCAGTCTCATAAACATTTATTTTATTATCAATTATTGTTCATCTCTTGCTGTACCTAATTTATTCATTAAACTTGATCATAGGTGTGTATGTGGATTGTGACTTTAAGCATCTGTGGTGTGGGTCCAGGAGTTCTTCCTCGGATAAGAAGAAACTGTAGTGTTCATTTTTTAATTAAAAAAGAAAAGAAAAGAGTTGGACATGGTGGCAAAAGCCTTTAATCCCAGCTTGTAGGAGGCAGAATCAGGTGGATTTCTGAGTTCAAGGCCCAGAGTGAATTCAGGGCAGCCAGAGTTCCAGAGAAACACTGTCTCAAAAAAAAAAAAAAAAAAAAAAAAAAAAAAAAAGCATCAGGATAAGTATAGGCAATAAAAGCTACATCATTTCCATGGCCCTGTAATGAAATGAGCTTGCTGAAAAATTAATTTCAAGACAGCAATAACGGCACCCCCCTCCCATCAGCGTGAGCCCTCCTACGAGCCTTCCCACCCGTGAAATGGTCCTGAGAACTCGATGATCTCTCAGCTGGAATGACAGAGCTCCAGCCTGGCCCTGCTGGACACACTGCAGCGTAAAGGGAAGGCTCTGCTACAGCAGCACAGAGCCCCTGGCTTGCATTTTGTACTCTCTTTAGAGTCCAAATTCGAGTGGGGTCCTGTGGGCCTGGAGACTCACAACTATCCTGTTACACCCGGGAGATGTACTGACCCTGATCCTCAGGGCAGAGTGAGCTGAGCTGAGGATCAGAAACCAAACAAGGGCTCCCTGTGAGCCTCTGAAGCCCACCATGACTTGAGTTTGAGCCTGGCCCCTAGTGTCCATGCCCCAAGCACAGGGACTTTGGTCTACCACAGTGGCACTCACTGGAGGCGCAGGCCCTCTGCATAACCATTCTTTTAAGGAAAAGACCTGAGTCTTTTTCCTATTGATCCTATTGACCCTGTTCACCACAGCCCTGCTTAGCAGAGCACTGTTGGGCAGCTGCTGAAAGGTGAGAGGCCCGACCGAGCCAGGACTCCTGAGCCATATACCCTTGGGGCTTGGGAAGAAATAAAGCCAAATCTTATCATCAAACAAATGAGGCTTGGACACCAAGCCCCAGACTGCTCAAAAGGACTTGGGAAAATGCCCATCTTTCTTGCCATTTGCTCCTACATAACAGAGCTCTGCCTAGTCGGTGGCCTCTCTGTCCCTCAGCCATCAGCAGCTTCTCAAGCTCTACCTGCAGTCAGACACCTGGCTCTAGCACCCACAGAGCAGCCTTGTTTATAGCCCAAGGCTGGAAGAGGCCATAGCAGCCTCCCTATTCTGTCTCATCGCAGTGACCACCAGGACAGAAGAGCCCCAGAAGGGGACTTCCATGGCTTTTTCTAACCCTCATCTCCCAGAGCAAAGCGGAGGAGCCATTGGCATTCCACATCCAGCTCTGGCGTGAACAGCACCTCTACTGTTTGTTATACTACCTCTGCAGTCTCCTTGAAGGCAGGGCCTACTTTTGGTTTTGTGTGGGGGTGGTATTTTTGTTGTTGGGTGTGAGTTTTGTCTTTTGTTGTTCTTACTCATTCATAGCCTTGAACTTCATATTTTCTACCTCAGGCTCCCAGACCCTAGAGAAGGGGTGTTTTGAGTCATTTTAAATTCTCCCCTTAGCACTCATCTCTATAGATAGGAGGACAGTAGGGGACAAATGAATATTAGTGAGAGACAATGGGCTATTACATAGCTATTTCTTAATTGAATGCATAAATTAATTTTGATTAAGACCAAAAACTCATTACTTTTTTTTTAACCATTTCTGGTTTTTTGTTTGTTTGTTTGTTTGTTTGTTTGAGAATTTCATGCACTCATATAATGTGTTTTGATCAAACCCACCCCCCACTCGATTCCTTTCCACTCCTTACTTACATTACACCCCTCCCAAAAACTTGAAGTGCATTCTTTTTAGAATCCTTTGAGTCCGGCCTAGCGCTGCCCTGTGGAAGCATCCCCTGGAGCACAGGCAGCCTCCAAAAAGCTGCATCCCTGGAGAAAACGGACTCCACCCTGGCCCCCAGCAGTCACCAACTGCCAATAGTGATGGGGTTTTAGGAGCCCTGCCCCGCCCCATCCTCCCCGGGATGTTGGCTGGCTTGGTCTTGAGCATGCAATCATGGCTGTTTACACAGCCATTCTTAACCCATGGTGCATTGATATTTGAAAATTCTGTGTCAGAATCATGTATGCAATGCCTTATTATTCTGTCATAGAAACTTTTTGTACTAGCTTTTACATAAAGAGAATTCTAGGAGGATAGGTGAGAAATTGATAAAAGTGGATTACCCTTCATAGGAGAGTCTGAGCAAGTAGGATGGAGTCTTTCCAAAGTGCAGGCCTTTGTGTACTTTTGAATTTCCAATTCTTTGAATGCATTACTCAACCAAAAATTAAAAGGAAGGAAAAATAATTATTAGTGGGAGAGAGGAGGGAAAAGAACAAGAGAGGAGAGATCAGGATCCACCAGACTTAGCCGTGGCCTCGATGCCAAGGCTGATGAACTGAATTCTAATTAGAAACAAGGGCACAAGAATAAATGTCTTCAAGCCCACGTGCCATGGCACAAACGCCAAGCTCCTGGTGGGGCAAGGTCACTTCAGTCTTTCTTGGTTCTCCAGAAGTCAAGTTTCTCCTAAGGGTCAGTCAATAACAGCATGTGTTTCCAACCTCAGAGGCTCAGCTCTGAGATAAAAGGATCAAAAGTGTGCTGAGCTCTGTGAATTGCCATATCTCCCAAGGTCAGTCTCAGTAAGCTCTAGTCAACACCTTGGAGCCCCCTAACCTAAGCCCAAAGTAGCCCTTCAAAAGAATTTCCTTCAGTTTTGTTTGGTTTGATTTGTGGTTTGTTTTGTTGTTTTTGTTTTTTCAAAACTACCTTGTTTCCCTGTGTAACAACTCCGGCTGTCCTGGAACTCACTTTGTAGACAGGGCTGGCCTCTTACTCACAAAGGTCTCTCTGTCTCCCGAGTGCTGTGATTAAAGGTGTGCACCACCACTGCCAGGCCTGTTTGTTTAATTTTTAAAGATTTGTTTACATGTTTACATGTGTGAGTACTTTGCCTGTATGTATGCTCAGGCATAGCATAGAATCTGTGCCTTGTGCTGTGGAGCCGAAGAGGGGGTCAGAGAGCCTGGAGGTACAGTTACAAATGGTTGTGAGCCACCATGCTTGTGGATGCTGTAAGCTGAACCCAGGTCCTCAGCAAGAGCAGCCAGTGCTCTTCCCCGCTGAGCCATCTCTCCAGCTGCCCCCCTCCTTCAGGTTTATATGGAAACAGGTACAACGACTTTTAGTTTGTATTAAGCTAAGTGGGCCCAAAGTCACAGCAGTTATGTACTCATAACACTCCTGCTGGATACATCAAAGGATGGGATCAAGAGTTTCTTTTGTGGCATTTTTGTAACAGAAAAAGAAAAGCAAAACAAACCAACAAACAAAAAAATAAAATGTGATCTAGTCCCCAGTGGAATTCCATGCTGAGGGGAAGAGGAGAGAGAGGGTACCCGCAGGCGGACATGGATGAAGCAACCCTCAGAGTGTGGAGAAAACAGCAGGCTGAGGCAAAAAGATACATTGCAGAATGCTTCAGTCAAGTCCAGACCAAGCAAAATTAAACGGGGTCTTCTCTCTTCTGGGTCAAAAACATATTCGACAAAGCACAAACCTAAACATAAAATTAAGGTAGCTATGTGCCCTTGGCAATGCCAATGAGTGTCAGGAGAAAGGAAAACAGGGCAATGGGACTGGAGAGACATGAGAGATGACTAGGCCAAGTGGAAATACTGTATCACTCGCTCCAGCTGGTGATGAGGTCATTTTATCATGAAGCTGTGTATCATGGGTGGGTGTTAGCGCATAGACCTTTTTATGACTCAAATAATCCAGTTTCAAAACCTACAACACACCCTGTGTGAGACATGCCTAGCACATAGTAGGTGCTCAACAGTTGTGATAAACAGTTATGGGTGCATTTAATTTGGTTTTGTTGTGACAGAGTCTCTCTGTGAAGCCCCAGCTGTCCTGGAACTCACTCTGTAGACCAGGCTAGTCTCAAACTCACAGAAATCTGCCTCCCTCTGCACCCCCACCCCAAAAGTGCTTGGATTAAAGACATACACCCCCCACACCTGAGTTTGGTGGTGCCATTTGTTTTAAGTCTATGTGTGAAAGAATAATAGGTTGAGTTTAGGTTTGATTATAGAAACTAATATTCTCTAATGAGAAAACAAAAGTTTGTAACTTCAGCCGTAAGCCTGGGATCTCCACTGTCCACTACGGGCACAATAAACAAAGATTGAATGAATAAATGGTTGAATGAATGGATGAATGAGCAAACAGATGAACACACCCATGGATTCTTTTCCTAGCTCCACACCTTCTTCCCTGGATAACTCCGGGATTCAAATTCTCTAGCAAGCAGTGTGATAACTTGAAATTAGAATGGTTCATACCCACAGCTTCCCAGAATCTTGAACCATGAACCTGAGAATCCCAGTTCTGAGAAGATGCAGCCTCCCACCCCACCCCTTCTCAACTAGGCCACAGACCCCTGTGCGAAAACTTCTCATTGTCTCCCCTCTCCCCATGATTCCTGGCACCATCCTGGGTCCACAACAGTTGCTCAGGAAACAGAGCTTATTGAGAGGGGAGGCCACCGGTGGGCTACAGGGGACTCCAAGTGGGCCCTCTGGAGTCTGTAGTGTCCCTCGATGCTACATCGCCAGGAGCCCTGGTCTTGCCTGTATTGACAGTGCCTGATTAGAGGAAATTAAGTGGATTTGCAAATCTGGAAAAGGCTGAAGTACATCCTGCTTCACAGTAGACATGAGCAGGGACTTACCCACGGAGTCATGAGCAAGCAGCCACCTCCCAAATCACACCTGTGTGACCTTGAATAAACTTCAGTTCCAGCTTCAGTTTTCTGCTCTGTGGAAGGGTGACAACTATTTCTTGCTGATTTCACAAGGCCCTGTAAAGATTTTATGTGTGTGTGTGTGTGTGTGTGTGTGTGTGTGTGTGTTCTTAGACACATTCTATATACATATGTGTGCATACA